TTGTATTTTTGGTTTGCAGAAGCTGATAAAATAAGACTGGACAAATATTCTGGAGATAAACCGTTTTTGCCTTATACATTAGTAATGATTTATGATAATGTATTCTTTGTGTAATCGGCACAATGTTACATTCGTGAAATAATTCGCTAGAAGGTTTGGTGTAATCAAGTTCGTCTAAAATTATTCTTGCTGCCCTGTAAAGTCGTCTATAAAAGGCCCGACATGAAAAGTGTGAACAATTCAAACGAAAAAACTAACAGCCTAATTATACATAAAAAAACAATTTACAAAATATCAAATATGAGTCGAGACAGGAACCAACGACAACCACTAAACTACAGGCTCCATCCCTGGGACAGGCAAATAAAGAATATGGCAGGGTGGATATAAAAACGAAGATGTGGTATGAGTGCAAATGAGACAACTCTCCACAAGAGATCAAATGACACAGAAATCAACAGCTATAAATCATCGTACGGCCTTCGACAATAAGCAAAGCCTACACCGCATAGTCAGCTATAAAAGGCCCCGAAATCAAAAATGTAAAACAATTCAATCGAGAAAACTAACGGCCGAATTAATGTACAAAAAAATGAACGAAACGCCACTGAATTACAGGCTCCTGACTTGGGACAAGCACATACATACAGAATGTGGCGGGGTTAAACATGTTAGCGGGATCACAATCCTCCCCTAATCTGGGACAGCGGTGTAACAGCACAACAACATGTTTGTGAGCAACCCATCCCGAAGCTGGGACAGTGGTGTAACAGTACATTAAAATAACAACCTGCACAAATCAGCAAATTAACTCAAAAGATCGGTACGAGACACCCAAAAAAACTAACATTAAGACAATAGACACAAAGCACCGACATAAGAGTATTTGCAATTACTGGAAGTTTGCTCAAACCTAATTACAACTGGTACTGAAATAAATCTTGTTCTCCCAGACTGAGTTATCACTCAGTACACAACGCGAGGCAAGGATTTATTAAAAAAAGAAAACAGTCTGAGAAACGTCTGGTTTACGTTGTATATAGATATAAGAAGATGTGGTATGAGTGCCGATGAGACAACTCTCCATCCAATTCATAATTTGTAAATGTAAACCATTAAAGGTCAACGTACGGTCTTCAACACGGAGCCTTGGCTCAAAACGAACAGCAAGCTATAAAGGGCCCCCAAAAAATTAGTAGTGTAAAACCATTCAAACGGGAAAACCAACAGTGTCTAATCTATTTAAAAAAAACGATATACTTGCATATAAATCCATATACAATGAAACGGTTTTTGAAAAGTGGACCGAACGTTTTTACCATCGAAATTTTGCAATAGAAATACTAGTTATGACCACAAGACTTTAACAGCCAGTGCAGGACTCGCACGAACGTTAGATTTAGTTAGAGGGGCGATATTCTGACGCATTTTTTAATTCTTGGTCACCCATGTTTAGAAAGAAAGGGAGAAACCAAACAATTTCCGACCAATCACAAACGTTGTTTCAAATTTGACCTTATGACGTCAAAGAATTTCCCATAATGCAATTATTGCATATAAATAAAAAAACTACTATACCAATTGAATAAAAAATATTGCATTCAAATGACATTTTATACCAATTGAATAAAAACTATTGCATTTGAATGAAAATTATACTATTTGAATGAAAAATTATACCATTTGAATGAAAAATTATACCATTTGAATAAAAAATATTGCATTTAAATGAAAAAATATACCATTCAAATAAAAAAATACTGCATTTAAATGAAGAAATATACCAATTAAATAAGAAATATTGCATTTAAATGAAAAATATCACATTTTTGCAACCAATACCATGCCATATCAAATAGTATTTTTTTTTTAAATTAACTGTTTAATATGAAACTTTAACCTACGTAATATTCTACACCGCTTTATATGTGTCTAGTTCTAAACGAAACGACTAATTATAATTAACAATTTATACAGTATAAATTATACTTGTTTACTAGGATTATAACCAAATGCTGACCAGTCAACAGCAATATCACGAAAAGAGGCCTAATAAGCTTTAAAAATTAAAAAAACATTTTATGACAAGACATGTTTTCCTGGTTGGAAGTAAAGCAGTGTTGTTTTTCCCTCATGAAGATTCTGCAAGATCAAATATGAGGGTCTAAATGAGTTTTAAAGAATAGAGAATAATGCATGAAGTAATGTGCACAATAAATAAAGAAAATAAACAAATAAACAAATCAATAAAGAATATTGGCCTTAATTGGGAGTGTAAAATCATAAAACAAACAGGAAAAGTGGGGGGGGGGGGGGGGACAAAATACAGAATAGTATAAAGAGTTAGTGAAGAAAGAAACGGGGGACCCTCACCCAGACCACCACTTAGGAAATGAAGTTTTGAGTAATGATTCATTTTTAAAAATAATTTATACAGCCTATATAGGGAAATGTTCTAAACTTTAACAGTGTGCATGCTTAATCGAAAATGGCTGGACTAAATGGTGCTTCCATAAACTGTATTTTAACAAGTTCATGTTCTTGGCCAATTAACATACATTTTTAATTTCATTATATAAATCTCTGTGAAATGACCCAGTAAATAGGAATTGGTGCAGGAAATATGATTTGCAAAAAAAAAAGCAATGTGACGACTGGAAAATAGGGCAAAATCACCCTTAGTCGAATATACCAGTTTGGAAACAAGAAAAAATGAAAAATTCTGTTTGCACCTCCTACTGTCATTTTCTCCCAGGAACCCACATTGTCCTCCCCTATGGAGATGAAATCACACCTGAAATATAAGGTCCACAAACTATCAAATAAATTACAAGGAGTGAAGTACCATGAGCTGTGGTTACATGTATATTTCAGACTCAAAAAAGGAGGGTTCATTGTTTTGTTGTTCTTGATTTGCTGTGAAATCATATCCGCTAATTTTACGCTTGCATTTGATTTTTTTAGAGGCATAAATCGCTCTTTGAGCACTTGTATTCAATTCATTAGCAGACGTTTTAAAATACTTACTTTACAGTTTTTCACCTTTTCATGTTTTGTTTACATCCATCTTTGCAGGACCTTTTCTAGTGTAAGACAAGGGTGAAACTGCGGCATAAGCTACCAAAATGAAGATCGTAATCTATAATTTTTTATCTACATTACAGTATTCATGAAAAGTCTTTCTCTCTTTTCCGACGTCAAGTACATGCTCCATATTTCCAGAACAGAAGTACATTTTCAACAATAAAAATTGCAACAATAAACTTTATCAAGTTAAAAAATTGCAGTTTTCAGTTATTCAACTCTTCCTCAAAGTATTTAGATAAAATAGATTATTTTAATAATCAAATTTTATTGTTACAGCAAATTACGACAATAAGCATGACTTACGATATCAGTGCTCAACCTTCTGCACAGACGGCGCGAAAATTTAAAACCCTAACTACCTTCAGTGTGTTTGGAGGTACGATGGGGTATGGTGATTTTAAAAAAAAATGTTCAAAACTGAAAAGTATTGCTTGCAACGTGCTTTAGTATTAAAACCACTTTAACACCAGTATGCTGTGATAAAAAGTCATTAACTACTTTGAATGAATAGGAATAAGTAAAAACGGTTTGTTGTTTAGGGAATTAGACCATTCTTTGAGTGGTTTGGGTAGTGCTGTCATGACTTAAGCCGTTGGTTCTGGCCTCTACCTTAAACGTGGATGTAATGATCTCTACCTTAAACATGGAGCTAATGTTTGCATTTGTAAACAAAAAAGGTAATGTGTTGCACATAACTAGGGGTTCATTACCTAACACCTATGGAGATTGGTTGTATTTAAAATATGGATGTAAAAAACATACAACAAACTAGATAGGATCAATTCCGTCGCATTAGGAACCTGGTCTGTTTTGAACGTTATTTGTACAACCAGTGCACTCAGTACAGCTGCAACAGGGATCGGAGCCATCACTTGCATACCTTTAAGTTCACTAGCGGTCATTAATTCGTTGGGAATGATGTGATAAACGGTATTATCCAATCGTATTGATAAAAACCGCAAAAAACATAAAGATACCGTACACCTTATCAGAATCTCTAAATCTAAGATTGAAGATGCAGTTAGTAAAGTTCTGGATGATAATGACATTAGTGACGTAGAGTTTACATGTATTGTTACATGCTTAGACTCGTACTACGATGAAATACAACAACTACGACAATCTAAGAAAGACCTTACTACGCATGCACCTTAAGGGAAAATGTTCCTTCATCACCCATTACACATGTTACATACCACGATCAACTTAATTTTTAATCTAGTGTTTAGCTAGATTAAAAATAAAGTGGGGAGGTTTTGACTAGGAGTAAAGAGGTGTTAAAGTGAAAGTAGGAAATTGATTGTTCTTTTGACTAGGAGTACGAGATTTACTTTCTAACAAGATCGTATGAGAAATACTCTTGTTTAGTCTTTTTACGTATTTTTAACCTGTACTTCTCGCAAAGGCTCCGTCAAAGAGTTCCTTCTCTCTGTTTAACCCGCTGCAGGCCCACACCCTAAGCATCTCCCCTTCCCTACTTTTCAAGATGAGTATATTACTCTTCCCTAACTTACCTTCTACTTCGATCACCTCTAAAATTTGGTAAATGACTCCAGTGACGAAGTCTTCTATTTAAGAGTCTCTTCATTTTGCTCCTGTACCTTATCCTCAAACACATTGTCACTCATGAAATCATCTTGTAAGAAAGCCATCGTATTCTTACTCATACCATTGCTTTCTTTCAAAGAGTTTTTTTTTTCAATTATAGCCTTGTCTTTTTTGAGAGGATTGTCGTGTTCGATTTAGATTTTTTACTATCACTTTCACTTTTACTTTCATTTTCATTTTCTTACTGTAAAATGAAAGTGCCGCAGAACCGGTCTTTTTTCACTACTCAGGAACAGTATGGGGTGTTGAAATTTTCAGTAAAATGTTGTTTTGGGGTTTTACATATATCACATATTATATTTTAGGCGAGGATAGATGGTTATGCACTTTGCTTTTAAAGAAAGGATGGAAAATTGAGTATTGCGCAGAATCGGATTCATACACTTCTGCACCTGAAGAGTTTTATGAATTTTTCAATCAGCGTCGTAGATGGACTCCTTCTACAATGGCAAACATTCTAGATTTAATCTTAGATTATAAGAAAATAACGAAAACAAACCAAAATATTTCGTTCTTGTACATAGTCTATCATGTCTTCCTGTTTGTATCAACATTACTTACACCAGGCTCAATATTCATGCTGATATTAGGCGCTATTATTTTGGGATTTGAAGCAATTCCACCATGGCTGGCACTCATTCTCAACCTCATTCCTGTTGGCATATTTATATTGATGTGTTTATATGCGTCATCACAGAAACAGGTACAATTTTTTAATATAGAGATGAAAATAACACTTTATTAATTACATACATCCGAAGGGATATTTTTTTAGGGTAAAACAGTTGTATATATATATATATTGACCAAATTTATTAGGAGTAATAACGACATGTTTATGACGTCAAAATGACATCACAAGTGACCTTTTTGCACTTCCAAGTGTCCAGATTAAAATATTAACCTGTTCATTTATCAATGAAATAATTTAGTATTGAAAGGCTTGAATATGTTTACTATTTTTGCACCTTTCAGGGGCCAAACAATTTTCGTGGATAACGTGTGACAATTTATCAATGGAGGAGATACTAGTATAAGAACCATTGTTTGGCCCCTGAAGGTGCAAAAATAGTAAACATATTCAAGCCTTTCAATACTAAATTATTTCATTGATAAATGAACAGGTTAATATTTTAATCTGGACACTTGGAAGTGCAAAAAAGTCACTTGTGATGTCATTTTGACGTCATAAACATGTCGTTATTACTCATAATAAATATGGTCAATATATATATATACAACTGTTTTACCCTAAAAAATATTTCGCATTCGGATATATTGATGATGTTCTTTCAATTAACAATCCAAACTATTCTGATTGGTTCCATTAATATATTCTCCAGAACTAGAAATTAAAGAAACAAGAGACACGGCAACCTCCGCCTTTTTTTTCTTTTTTTTTTTGACTTATACTTCGAATTTGACACAAGCGGTCATCTCAGTACCAGAATATATGACAAACGAGACATTTAATTTTGAAATTATAAATTTCCCCCACCTTAGCAACAACATATCAATTTCACTTGCACGTGGGATAACATTTCCTAACTCATTCTGTATTCAAGATCTTGCAGCTGCTACTCAGACTTAATGAAACGTCACCAGTGTCTGAGCAGAAAGTTGATGGACCAGGGTTTTACTTTGGTATTAAGATGCACAACAAATGGTGAACACTATCCCCAGGTCAATTGAACAACAATTTTAACAAAGGTGATCCCGTCATGCCAATTTTTGTATGGGCAAATTAGAAAAGCAAATTCTCAACACTTCTCTGTATCAACCTCTCTCTTGGTTCCGATTCATTTACGACTATTACATGCAGTGGGATAACACTGAACAATAATAAAATGCCCTGATTCAGCGTGGTAATAACGCCCACTCCTAAATCAAATTCATTTATGAAATCTCTGCCTCTAAGATCTCAATCCAAGACACTACTGTTCAAGTAAAGGGTGGAACCATATTAATATATCTGTATTGCAAGCCCGTAGACAAACATAAATGTTTTTTCCATGAGTTGTCATCCAAAACACTGTATCAAAAGCAGCCTACACCCGGGTTATCAGAAAGCGGTTTTGTTTTTACACCAGTTAAAGTGCAACATGGCGATTACAAGAACTTTGCGACAACCTACGAAACCGGGGCTACAGACAATAACGACAGTGATCATTCGGGATGTATACATACGCAGTCCCGTCTATTGTAAATACTTAATTTGCATGACGTTCCACATTTTAAATTAATACTAATACAAGTAGATTTTTTTTTTAGTTTCTGAAAATCAGCATAGATTAAGACGCCATTTTATATCAGACTATTCATACTGTTGAAATATATTTGTTATTCGAAATATTTATTGAAACGTTTATGTACTAATTGTTTTCTATTTTTTTATCGCTTTGGTGTTGTTGTTCACTTTCAGACGTATAATATACATTGATGATGTCCTATCACTGAATAAGCCATATTTCAGTCAGTACTTGCATCTCATATATCCCAGTGAACTTGAAATTAAGGATACTAATGATACTAGGACGACTGCTTCATACCTTGATCTTTTCCTCAATATTGACACAGATGGACGACTTCACATTAAAATCTATGACAAACGGGATGATTTCAACTTCCCAATTATCAATTTCCCATTTCTCAGCAGTAACATACCCTCTGGTCCGTCGTATGGTGTTTGCATATCTCAATTGATTCGTTATGCTTGTGCATGTTCACACTATACGGACTTCATATACAAGAGTGTGCTCCTTACACAGATACTGCTCCAACAGAGTTATGAGGAGGAAAGATTAAAAATGACACTCCGTAAATTTTATAGACACCATCACGAATTTGTTGATTTATACGATGTGGCTGTGTCTAAACTAACTAACGACATTTTTACCACGTCTTAGATTATGGTTTACCATCTGCGTCGTCTGTCTGCTAAGTACCGAATGTGACCTATTCCCGAATATGACTGTTTTGCCGAGTGTGAATTCACATTGCTATACGATTTGTCTCGGTATTTATACATCCAACATTCATGTATTTAGTACAGTTGGATATTGTGTTATGTCTTATCGTTTGTGGTTTGAATTCTGAATTCTGTATTTTCGTTAAATTTCACATATGTCTCATTTGTTAGAATAGTCGAGTTAACAGTCGAGTTAATTTTCATTTTCCATGGAGAACGTTTTGTGCTAGTTCAAATAATTATGGCGTCGTCACAGCATTAATTAAGAGCATTAATAGCCTTTCAAGACCGTCATAATCATGATAATTTTTTGGACTAGTATTGTGAAAATAATTGTGAATTGTTGGATCCCGTTCCATATAATTGTATGAATTTCACGATTACCTGTAATAATATATACGTCACTTTTTGTGGCGTTGATCCATTCATGTGACGCGCAGCTTGTGATGGCCTGTACTGTCGTTAATTCATGGGAGATGTCCGTTATTATTCTGCGGTTTACATGTTGTAATGTACTATTATATTATTTATTTGTGTATCTCTCGGTGCTGAGTGTTCTTGAGTTTGTTTGTAATGTATTCCTGTCACGTAGTGGTATTTTTTAACATTGCCATATAAGAGGGAGGTTTGACTGGCCACAAAACCAGGTTCAACACACTATTTTTTCTTAAAAATATCCTGTACCAAACCAGGAATACGGAAGTCCGTTTCTATGTATGTTGGCGTTTGTTTTGTTGCAGTTCAGTGTTTCTGTTGTTCCGTTGTTTTCCTCTTATAGTTGGTGTGTTCCCTCGGTTTTGGTTTGTGACCCGGATTTTTTTTCTCTTAGTCGATTTATATACAGCAGTATATTACTGTTGCCTTTGTTCCGAACTACAACCACATTTGGTGAAACCAGGACCATGACACATTTAGCTTTGTCAACACCTTTTCTTACAAATCACTTGAAGTTAGAAAAACATCGGGTTTTGTAAACAGAACACACATAAATATGCAGGATGCATTAATTCGCATTCTATCTGAATGAGGACATTAAATCTTATACTTTGTGTAAAAAGGTTAAGAACTCTTTGACCGTTTCGTAGGTGGCCTGTTGGAAGGCAACATTTCTGTTCCCATCCTATAAACATTCATTTCAAGTGGCAGTCGATATTCCTATCCTTTACCAGGGTCAATCGATTGCTGAATTTACCTATTTGATCTATTATCAATTTGTTCTCGTCCTAAATAGGCATGAGATATTTACTACTGAACCCAAACAAACAACAATCAGTCAACCCAAATACATCCATCGTTTTCTCTGCTTAATATCACACACTTCTATTTTAAATCTAGATTTTCCAAAAAAATCAATGTAAGTTTTATTCAATTGTAAGAACACTTTGTCCTTCTTGTCGTCATGACAATATTATAAAATTACACTATCTGAAATTCAGAGCGAGTACAAACCTAATGTAGTAAGAGGTGGCTTTAGGGGAGAGGAATAGGGGTCCATCCCCCTTATGGATCTTCATATATGATAAACGCATCGACTATTTACAAGTATCACTCCAAATGTTAGCTTGCCAGCCACCTTTCAAGGGATGCGGAAACAAACGATGTCTGACTTGCAAACAAATACTGAATGCCCAGACTTTTAACAGTCACTCCACTGGTACGGAATACACCATATTTTGCAATGTTAATTGCAAGACTACAAATGCTGTGTATCTTCTACAGTGTAAATGTGGTAAACAGTATGTTGGCGAGTCAGAACAGTCATTTCATAAACGAATGAACGGCGATCGTAGCGACTTTAAATGCAAGCCAGACCTTCCTCTCAGTCGACATTTGAGATCCCCTGGCTACACTAAGTCAGATCTCAATCGACTGACCATTACAATCATAGACCACAACACTGCTTGGTCTAGGGAGGATAGACTCACTCGGAAAAGATTTTTGATAAGAAAATTAAAAATTTTGGCATCAAATGGGATCAATGAAAAGGTGTAGTTCTAATTCGCGCTGTGCTTTTCATTTAGGTTATATAACATATTACTACGAAGTCTCTGTTGCTATTCTTTTACCTTTGTCAACTCTAACGTTCTTGAATGATACCAGTTTAAATCGCAGGGTTCTATTCATTTGGGATGTTTAAGTATTCAGTCACGTTCAATTATTTAACCTTTGTAATTTTTTCCACGCAGTCTTTGTTGTAACATCTAAACTGTCGTCTCCTTTGAAATTTTAGAAAGAACCAGTTCATATCGCACATTACTATTTATATTATAAGCATATCTTTGCAGTCTCTGTTATAAATACCTATATAACTTATGTCATTTCTGAAATTTTAGAATGGTACAAGCGTTTTTGTGTTCGGTTTTAATTGTATAATTTTCAAGATTGTTATAGTTAAATCAGAATAGATTTATATGATTCATTTTACATCATAATCGTACTGATGAAGGATACCTGTTATCCGAAATATTTATTGATAATTACATTTAATGTTTCCTTTTTTTAATATTGGTGTTGTTTTGTACACTTTTTAGGCGTTTATGTAATTTATTTATTGTGTACATGTATCGTTACTCGTAACGATCCAGCGCCCTCGTAAGAAAGATCGTTGACTAATATCTAGAAGTTTTAGATATATTTCGCGAGAGAAACTAGCTTCAACGGGCGTGCATCCATCCAGGTGAATTCGAATGCAGATAAGAAACTTTTGCTCCTTATAGTACATTTATGTCTGCTGCTGCAACAATTTGGATGAAATTCAAGATTATCTATATAATTTACAAAATCTGTTGTTGGGATATATATATATATTTCATCGGAAATGTGTACAAAAACACAAAAAAAAAATAAAGGAAAATTTAAATTGATACAAATATTATCATATAAGACTTCATTATACTTCATACTGAGGGAGAATATCTATTTTCTTAACTATTTATCGATATTTGTATTTATTGCTTGTATTATTGGTACAAGCTCTCCGTAAGTTCAATCAACATGGCTGTGACTAAAAGTGCCATGGGTCGATTTCAAACTTGTAGAGTGGTACATGTTTTAAGGTCACCTACTGTTACACTTATTTGACTGTATATGTATCCCATATTCAACTTGTTATTTAATAAGGTTATAATGAAAATCCTTAGGGAATCATAATAAAGTTACATAACACGTGTTACAATACTGCAATGAAATTATTAATTTAAAGATGAAAATCCCTTCATTCTCTTGTATGAATACAATTTTAATTTAAATTTACTCACGATTTTGTACATTTTGTTAACACTTAAAACTTTATTCATTAGCTTCAATATGCCGCCGTTCTGTCTGCAGTATATGTGATAGTGATGGTTATTGTCATGATTGGTGTAATAAGAGATGCTTTAAATGAGGGTCTATGTTCGATTACTACCATCTTACTGTTGTTTGTAGCCGGAGTGTTTGTTATATCAGCATTAGTGCATCCAAAGGCAAGTGTCGAAAAAATAATAAAAGAATAATATCAGACATTTTAACTTGATCAATGTTATTATCCTTGCAAAGATACCAATACTGCTGTTATATGAGTATATGATTAACCAAATCAACAAACAAAAGTGCTTTTTTTTATGTCCCTGACGAGGGTAGAAAAATTCGAGTAAGAAAATCAATGTCAAACATATAAATTTTGCTCCGTTGAAAGCGCTTTTCTGCGTTGTTCATAAACGGCGCTCATATCCTAACGTTGTTTAGCTGTCAAATGCAGTAGAGAAAAAAAACCATTAAAAAAAAACGACCTGAAGATAATAGATTACATTTATACTTCAGAACAAAGGTTTTGTTCAAAGTTAAATGATCTTTCAAAATGTCGTTTTTACTGCATTAATTATATTGACGAAAAATAAATTATATTCCAGGAGTTTTTGTGTATAATGCCAGGACTTCTGTACTTCGTGGCCATACCATCGATGTCTATGCTAATGTTCTTGTATTCTATTGGAAATTTACATATTGTTTCTTGGGGAACAAGGGAAACTAAGCAAAAAACCGAATCTGATTCCCCAAAGAAGACTCATACACCAGAAAAAGAAGAAACCGGATATTTTTGTTCACTTGGTAATTTTGTTAGGTGAGTTTATTAATTTGTACGTTTTGTCCTTTTTTGTTTCATCAGCTCTTCAACGTTTGTATTTGGTTTTTGATTTTCAAATCTATCAAATCTATTGGCCTCCAACATCAATGAAGAGACATTGATTGTCGAAATGCACTTCTGGTGCAGTCAATTTGGATTGTTATTTCTCTATAATTTTTGTGCTTTTTTCAAATGTCTTGATCGGTGTGAGAAAAATATTTCTCCTCACTAGTGAAATATCTGTTCTCAGCAAATGATTGGTCGAAATTCAATTATGACGTCAAATTTTCTTGGTTTCTTCTGAATTTCCTATTTTGATGTCATGATGTAGTTTTTAAAATTTACATTTACAGACAGTCTGGGATTAAACTTTTTTGACATGATAAATTTGTAAACCTTCATGGATTGTTATGAAACTTGGACAGAAGCTAATCTTCAAGACCATAAAATATAGATTTCACCACTGCAACAAGTGTGTTACGATATTTTTCTACTCGAGACACTTAAATTTTAATATTTAAAGCGCGAGGCTTGTCGAGTTTAAATAATTAAAATTTAAATGTTGAGACTGTCTGTAAATGTTATTTGTAAAAACTAAATCCGTCCATCTATCAGAAAAATACTGAAAATGAAAAAATATATATATTTTCAAAAGTTAGCTTCAAACATTATCTATAAATTACCAAAAAAAATTCTGCCAAAGTTTCGTAAAATTCTATAAAAGTTTGATAAAGTAATTGATGTGTAAAACAAACTTTATGCCTAGACTGTATTTATTTGTTAAATGTAAAAAAAACTAACATTATCAGTTAAGTACGGAAAATGAAAATAAATATTTTCAAAATTTTGCTCTGAATAATGTATTTTGGTCATAACTTAGGTCGTGTTCACACCAAACGTCGCGTACTGTAAAACTTTTTACAATTAGTTTCATGTAATGTTATTAAAATAATTTTTGTCGAATTTCGCCAAAGCGAGACATTTCGATCCTATATTCCGTCGTCGGTGGCGGCAACATTTAGGTTCAGATATTTAGGTTGTATACCAATGTAAAAACAACTTCCGTTGTGATTGCTGTATGGTTATGATTTTTTTTTCTTGGGAATGTACGATAGTTGACCAGATAAGTACTAAAGGAGAAGGAAGAATAATGCCAAATAAGGATAGATTATAAAACTAGTCTTCAACGAAGAAAGCATTGGATGCATTGCAACATGCCTATTTCGCAATGTTGAGTACACAAAATTATCCATACTATCATATTTTGTACCACTTGAACAACACTTATAGTAAATATATTATAATTGGATATAGCTAATGTCAGCTCCATCATTAAAAAAAGATTTTCTGATGTTTCAGCTGTATATTTTGTCCAACAAACAAATATACCAAAGAAGACTTTCTGTATACCAATATGATTAATGAAGTGAATGTTTTGGTGAACAAGAACGAGAATCAAGAAGGGGAAGACAAAAATGAAAAAGGTATTAAAACAAACATTTCACAATTTGTGTACTTTAGGCGTTTATGTATACATTATCTGTAGTAGATGTTAGGTTTTTTTTTTAATAAAAATATTTTGAGATAAAGTTGTCAGTTTTTCAAACCGTGGGTATCTTTTTAATTCTATATTTTCCGAACATAAAAAGATAATGAACGAAATATTTGTTGAGAATAAAATTATTTATATAGCGTACGAAGTACAATGCTAGATGAAGGTAAATATGAAGTTGTAGTCGTCAATTATGATAGTGTGGAAGCGTAGATCAAGTTTTATTTCTGAATGTTTACAAAACCAGTTGTTATAGTTGAAAAAATTATTCATTTTGTTTCTTTTTCCTTTGAACTCAATGAATATGATCACATATGTTAGGGTATGAAATATTTTATATTATTGGAATGTGCCCGCAAAGAGAACTTCATTTCATTTAAAAAGACCACACTGAATTCAATTAAAACATCCCTGTAAATTTGAAACACCTTATAACTTATTGTTGTTTTTTTTTTTGTTCTTGATATGATAGAGTGTTATTGTATTATTTCGAAATACTTGTAGATATAGAGCGTGGGGAAGGAGTGGCTGAAGACTCAGATTTGTGTACTGGAAAACATGATGAACGAAAACATTTAAACGAGGAACAAAAGGATGAAAATAAGGATGATAATGAAAAGCATTACTATTTCGATAATGCAGCACCAAAGATTCCTAAGGACGAACGGAAATTTTGGAAATCAAAAATTAAGCGATATTTAAAGCCATTAGAAACGAATAAAGAACAAGAGACCAAAGTGCAAGAAGAACTAATTGAATTGCGAAACAAAGTGTCACTGTTCGTTTACTTGTTAAATGCAATCTTAGTTACAGTTATGTTTGGATTAACCCAAGTTAACACTTTCAAGGATTCTTTGTCTTTATCCATAATATGTGATAATAATCCAGTTTCGATAGTGCCAATAGCTTTACTGTTTGCTGTTGTCTTTGGTTTGCTACTTTTGATTCAATTTCTCTGTATGTTATACCATAGATTTTCTACATTGATACATATATCAGCAAGCACTGATATCAGAGAAAGTAACGAAATTAAAGAGGCAAAAATGGATATGAAGATTGTTGAACTTTTGGTGTCTCCAGAAGCTTCATTACCATCAAAACATGAACCCACTTGTGATAAAGCAAAAACTATTCCAAATGGAAATAGACAAGTGCTACCAGAAAAAATCATACCGTTAAAAGACCTTGATGCTGTTGTTGGAGCAAATGCTGAACACCTTCAAGGTGCATTATATCAGAAGCACAGAAAACTAGTGGAACAGGTCATGGGTAGATGGGCAAAAAAGGCGAAATATGTTAATAATGATAAACCAGGTATGTTACAGCTCGTTCAAGAAGCTACAAAACAGAAATTAATTGGTCTTAAGAAACATAAGGACAGCAAAGAAGATGTTATGACAGAAATACCTGCTACCAAACGAACAAACGGAAACAAGGTGAAGCCAGTAGGCAGTCCAGAACAAAAAAGAAAACTTTCGTCATCATCAATTTCAAGTCAAAACGAGGTTAATGCTCAAAAGGAAAATGACAATGATTCTCTAAGTGAAAGTTACAATGGTCCTGATACTAATGACTCGAATGTTTAACAATAATAAGTTATGCTTAGATTTTTATATGACTAATGCCAATAATGGCTGTAGTTTTTAGTAGAAAGGACTTTTTTATTTATAGCCATTTTTTTTATATCGTTTATACTCCTTTTTAATTATATTCATAATAGACTGTTAATTGGATAGCGAATTTAATTCATGTTTTAGTCACTCAATAATGATGTTAACACATGGATTTCTAATTATGGCAGATGTTTTCTACTCGTTCCTTTGGTAATAAACTTAGAACTTGCCTTGGAGTTCGGTAATTTTGTTATACTTTTTATAACCAGTTGTATATACACTTATTTTAATTATTAACGTAATAAAACTTTAAAAATGTATAAAAATTATTTTAACCTTACAATAACAAAAATGAAAATTTAAGATCGAATCATTACAAAAAGAATTACTGGTAATCAATATTCATATTTTTATTGTAGTTAACGGTAAAATATTTTAACAATACTAAGTTCTGCATAGTTTTTACATGCCAAATATACATCCAATTCTAAAACCGATTACATTTTTCATTAAAAATCTTAAATAACACTTTCACATATCACATTATGTATATATTCTAATTTATAAAAAAAATCTATCTTTAAAATTCTATTCTTAAGTGGTTCACGACTCAGTAAACAAAATAATGATACTTGTTTAAGACGTCGTTATTTTCGTAGTAATTTTTTAATCAATCAAGTTTTTTCTGGATGGTCATGGCTTCTACTGCTACATTATTTAGGTACATTATAATTAACTGTGCTGAATCAGTAAACTTTCACTACTCACATTATTGTCCCTCGCACGACGCATTGAAGGAGACATAGAAATACAGGGCGTCCGGTCTTGTTAGCGCTCTCATGTGTACATTATGTGCCAGATTTTTATAAAACTTATGTCATAGGTTTTTATCACCATTGTCCAAAAATCGGTGCCGATCAACAATTTTTGAAAGAGTTATACCCCTCGGAATTAATAATTTTGTCGGAAATTGCATTGTAAGCGTTCTTATGTGTAATATTCTTGCCATTATTCTATGAAACTTATATCAACGGTTTATATCAGCAATGTATCGAACAAGTTCGAATATCAGTGCTTATCAACAATTTTTAAAAGTGTTATGCCCCTAGATATATCGGAAATTGAAACTGCTCTCTAGCATTCATTTCTCTAAGATATTATAAAAATTTTAAGAAAAAAAGAAGTTATTTTTAGTTATTGCCCTTGGACAGATAAAATTTGTGCATTACAGGGAACATTGGAACTCTGTTCTTATATTGTATATTCTGACGATATAACATAAAGTTTAAAAACCTGAGGGATTTACATGAATTTCAAAAATAGCGAAATCGGATGCGTCGATATGGTAAGCGTCTCCTTCTATGCATGCATCACCCGCCATGCAAATCAACACTTAATCAAAATGTTAAAATCGGGAAATGGACACAATCGATAAAATTACAGATAAGACGACTATTCTGGAATATAAAAATCTAAGACTGCAGAAACATGTCGCTGGTGAAATGAGACACAGACACATCGTATCAATCAATTGGGTGATGGTAATACATAGTCCCGATATCAGTCTGTTTTTTTTTTCTCAAGCTCTTTCGGAGCAGTTTTTATGCAAACTGCAATAAATACAGTCATTGTCTATGAGTGAACTGACTTAAATGATATTCCCTTAAATTTGTATCTAGGGTACAAAAATAACTCAGAAATTGCCTACATCAAAGATATTACTTATGTAAAGAGGTATATCCCTTAGGTTTAAATAAAATGTCCTAAGGGTAAGTAGCAATGAAGCCATTCACAATCAAGCTAAAAATAAGGTTTATTCCTGCTATTCCTACATTTGATAATCCAGTATGTAAAATGTAAGAAATCCATGTAGGAATAGGAGGAATGCTTGTCCAACATGGGATTAAGGCGGATTAGGTTGTAAAAACATGAAGCTAATTAACTTCATGTAAATTTAAATGAAATATCCTTTTAGTTTTCAATTCATGTGCAACTTTAGTGTACTAACAGTTTAAATGGTGTAAATTATCTAAAGAAATATATATTCTTGTCTTTTTTGTACTGTTAAATTATATTTGTTTCCTCTTATATCACTGAGAGACAATAAATAAAAAAAAATCGGAATAGTTGCATTTATTTATTTTATCATGTTCATGAAAATAGTAAATAGCACAATAATGTAAACACTATTTATGGTCCCAAAAACCTTTTGAGCACTATAATAAGAACTGTAACAAATACATGCATGTATTGTATCATCATCTAATCTATAAAATTTGCAAAGTCTCGACTGTTTAAAAGTGAAGTAATTTTTATTGCAAAACTTTAGTTTCTTCTTCATATTAGTTGTCGTTATATTGTTTTATGCATTTAGTACTTCATTGTTACTGTTTGGTACATTGCCTAGCCGTTCTTGCAAGAAAAAGACAGTTTGAATGGCCTCTGGATCTGGCAATGTTAGCGGAGATATATATGATGGTGTACGAAGTAGGTCGGGCCATCGATGTCAGACCCTTCTGTAAAATCTATTCTACAACTCTTACTTCTAGATTTGAATGGAATATAGAAGTATCGGCGATGGCATGCCTTCTGGGAGTTGTATGGATTGGTTAAAAAAAAAACAAATTAACATATAGGCTTGGTCTTTTCCCCTTTGATCAACTTTTATAGCATTTATTCCAGCACCAACACCATTTAATCAGAACATAGTCAAAATGAATAAAGTTCACAGGACAATATAATATCCCCATTAAGATATCTATTAAACTTTAAAATAAAAGTTGTATTTAGGATTTATATTTTTTAAACATTTTTTTCTTTAAATGTTTAACAGAAATACATTTTTTGGGGGAAATGTTCTCTTCTATAGACTCTACAATGCATCTTCTTTTTTTTTATTGTTTATTTTTATCAATGTAACAATCCTTTCCAGATTACCTCTACTTACCTGTATTTCAATCAAATTTATATTGTTAAAACAACAAAACAACTTATACCAACATCTATTGTTCTTTGTTTGTAGGAATAGAAGGTATATGAATTTAGAAAATGTAGGAATAGCAGGAAGACACCAAAAATAATTATGGAAAACAACAATGTTTAATCCGATCAAATACTTCACCCCTAAATATTCCTTTAAATGTTTTTAAAATCTGTGGATTTATTTCGTAAAAATAATGAAACTTACATTTTTTTAAACATATATAAATTTGAACAAAAGAAAGTGTTTGGATTTTAAAGGAGAATTGTCGATAAAAACAATATTTTCCGTCCCAAATGTGGACAAATCTATAGTTGCAACTATAATTCATATATATGTTTTATGAAACATGCAACATATGCATTACAAAAAGAATTGAATAACTATCAGAAGTGTGTCATATCATTTTTACTAAACCAATTATAAAAAATAAAATTTTATATTAAACGAACAAATAAATATATAATATATGATAGATATTCACAATTGAGAAGCTTAACCATACTAAACATCTTTAAGAGTGGCGCCTACTTATTTCCTAAAAAAATAAATACATGTTCAATCTCTATTGTATCTACTAATAAAAAAGGAAATTATAATTGATAGATGTAAATAAGACCTTAATTGACTGGATTAAAAAGGGATAGAATCTTAAACGTGTAATATTGTTCTTTCATTTGTCTTTGTTCTATTATTAATATTACTTTTACTGTTTGGTTTGTTTTCTGTGATATCCATTTGATGTGGCTAGGTACTTATACATCCCGTCAATGTGTTTGTATTATCTTTCATTTTTGCTGGTGTGTTTTGTATATGCGACTTTTTGTGTTTCTGTGGTTCTTATAACGTGACTCTGTACTTTAAAAGATCCCGGCATTATGTTATTGTTCTATTATATGTCATTATGTTATTGTTCTATTATAAATTTGAAAATACTTTGAACGACAAACGACAAATTTATTTTACTCGCGTAGTGGTATTAACCATATGTGGATTCTTAAAAATTCTAAAGAACTTCTGGACAATTTTAAATCTCGGTCTATTTCTGAAATTAATTCTAACATAACTTTTGATTTTTTAACCCTGTATACCAACATTCCCCATGTGAAATTATAAAATTGTTTTGAATAAACATTGAATGACAAACTTTTTTCTTATGTGACGTTTACATTTTCTGACGTCAGACACGCGAAGCAATGAATGTGGTTTTTAATTTGATAGATGCTTTTGTGCTTTTTTGTAAATAATTGTTTGTTTTGATATTGTAACACAGTGATGACTGCTGTACCCATATTTTGACTATTTTATTTATAATGTCTGTTTTGTTCACGCATCGTTGTAAATATAACGGAATTTGATAAGACTGTCGTACAAGTGAGAGGTTTAGCGCTATAAAACCAGGTTCAATCCACCGTTTTCTACATTTGAAAATGCCTGTACCAAGTCAGGAATATGACAGTTGTTGTCCATTCGTTTGATGTGTTTTGTCATTTGATTTTGCCATGTGATTAGGGACGTTCCGATTGAATTTTCCTCGGAGTTCAGTATTTTTGTGATTTTACTTTTTCTAACTTGATGAAAGTGAATACTAAATTTGTTTGAAATAAGATGATTTTTTTGTTGTTGCAACCATATCTCAAAAGTTTTCTCGTTTGTTAACATATTTAAAATTTATTGGTTTTTTATTTGTGGCAGACAAGGTAATAATTGTTGCTTTGATGTTGGTATCCATGAGCTTTAACAAATGCAGGAACACCAGTAATCATAACTTTCGAATAATCATTGCTATTTTAAAATAACCATATATATTCAACTGAGGTTTGGCGGCTTAAAGACTTCACTTTTTAAATGGTCTACAATTGTCTAAAGCATCCATTATACCAAAAGCTAAATCGCCCCGATCGATGTCATGAAAAGCATTAATGAAGTCTTTTATATCCGACACTTCTCCTTTTGTTGCTTGTTTCCAAAGCAAAATCAGTCTGAAGTTTTTACTTTCAACACTGCCATACATGATTAAGACTTTTGATACGGCTCCAGCAGGAACCCCAAGACGTATTGACAGGTCAAATCCCTCATCTTCTGACAAACAAGCGGCAAGTTTATGTAGGCTCTCTGCACTTAATAACTTCTCAATAGCTTCTGAAATAAATATCAAACAACGATATAAATTAAAACATTAAGAAACAACTTATGTTCCAAATCCCTCAAGCAAAGTTGATTTCAGATAAATTTGTATTTTGTTCTATGTGTCTTATAGTCATATTGCTCCTAACGTTTCAAGTTTTCAGGTTTAAGAGTCCCTGGTGAAGGAAATCCCGAAAAATGTTTCGGACAAACGACGTTTATAAAGTGTTATTTGCATCAATTATAGTGAATATAAATTATGGTTAATTTACTGAAAACCAACTTAATTTCGCGGATGCTTAATATCGCTATTAGCTCTTTCTAGTCCACTTTGCGGCAATTTCAGTTTGTGATCTTCAAAATAACTTGATATTTTTTATTAAGGAAAGATCCAAGTTTTACATATTCGCGTTATTTTTCAACTCGCAAAAGTTACGAAAATAAATCGCTCGCTAAAATTAGTTGGTATGTAATTTTGATCGAAAACCTATGATGAGATGTGTGTAAACTTCGGCTTTTTGTTTTTTCTTGATTTTTTTTTCTTGATATTTTTTGGCCATTGTGAATAGACAAATAGAAAATATGTATTCTAGCATAAGACGCTATTCAAGCATAGTATAGTTTGAAATAGACATTGTTGGAAAATTAGATTTTACAATGGAAATTTAATTTTTTTTTATCTATTTTAACTTCATCTTCGTTTACGCAAGTGAATACCAAATTTACAACAGTGTGCTTATACAAACAGCATTTTATTTCGGAGTGTGAATAATACTCGACAAAACTTCTTTCTAATTTACTACATGCAACATCTTTTATATCAGCAATAAATACAAGGCTTCCGATTTTGTTATAAAACATCGTAATCTATGGGTGGCGCGAATCAGTTGTCGATACTTAAACATACCAAAGATTTGTTGAAAATACTAGTGCATAAAATTTTTATTTTTCTAGTGATATTGAATAAAGATATTTGACTTAATAAAAATATTTGACTTCTCTCCCTTTTTCGGTGTAATGTTCATTCTTAGTTCAAAGACAGATTGAATAAAAGGAAAAGAAGAAAAATTCTTATTTTAAGATAGGACAAATCCTGTTTTCTAATATAAAACACTGTAAAAAAAGAGAGGCGAAAGATATCAGGATGACCAGAAATGTGTTCCATTTATCAAACCTTCAACTAAGTCTTCCTTGCCTCATTAGCTACATCATTGAATATTACTTTTCAATAGATGATCACCTGTCGCAATTCACACGACGCTTGCCACAAATCAGTTCTTACTCTTCACGAGTACCGGGCTTCACCCTTGTTTTGGTGGAATTTGTGTTTCTCGATAATAGTTTTCTGTGAAGAGTATGTGAACTGGTGTTTGTACTTTCGAAATTTTTCTCATAGCTATGGTTTTGTTTGTCTTTTCGAAATTTGTCTTATAGCCATGGTTTTGTTTGTCGTTATAAAAACTTTATCACAACTTGAATCTTGTTGCGTCTTCATTTAAAAGTTCAGAGAGGTAGACAGCATGTTCTTTTTCTCAATGTTCAGCTGACTTTCAGTAGCGTCGTGAATTCTTTGATGGAGCTGGAACTGCTTATACTTTCGGAGCACCTAACATCATCCCAGAGTTTTGGTTTGTCCGTGTTGTTCGGCCTTTGGTTTTCTGTATAGTATTTTGTAGACTGTTGTATGTCTATTCGTGTTTTATTCTTTTTTGTCAAGATATTGTCTCTCACTTTAAATTTTGTTTTGGCGCCATTACTTATCATAGAGTACAAATTATCATCGTCACACCTGAGTTTACCCTTCTTTTTTTTGCGTTGCTCGATCTTTTTTCAATGCAATGTGTTTCTTTTGTTTTCATTGCTTTTCATCTGTTCCGTCTTTTTTTCATTTTTGGGCATGATGTTGACTTGAATTCTACCTATGATTTTTGTTCTTCTTTCTTAAAGCGATATTATTAAAATTGTCATCGAAAACTTTCTTTTTAAGCGGCATTGTTATGTGTGTTCTTGATTTAATTTCGTACCTCTTGTATATTCCGGTGCTTCGGTTTTGGGTACGACTGAAAACATACAATGCAAATTAGGTAAAGTAAATAGTACACCTTCATATTGTTATAAAAAAATGGCACAATAACTCAGTAATTTTTGTGGAACTTTCAATTATTATGCTCACTTACATGGTTCCTATGTTTTAAGTGATAACAATTATTCAATTTGTAAATGTTATCAAGTTTGTTAAAACGTCCAAAATCGTAGGCGACCTTTTAAAATCATATATATCCTTAAATTCAAGATTAGTCAATCCATTGCGTATCATGTGCAAGAAAAAAAGGGTAACTCTTAATAATATATTGGAACCATTTGTGATATTGTGTCAACTGGGAAATATATATGTTCCGGACCATATGAGTATGGTCATGACCATATGTGTATATACTCATATGGTCCGACCATACGCGTATGGTCCGGGTAATTAACCGATGATTGTTAACGTTGAAAAGGTGTCGCATAATTATGAGTTCCTTAAAATGAAATTTTGACGTATGCAATCATATGGTAATCAATGTTACATGATTAATCAAACAAAGTGAATTTTATTTAAAATTTAAGTAAAAATTATTGTGTTTATTGAATTTAGATTTTTTGAATATTTTAAATTGGTTTTAGATACTTGATGTGTTCTTGCTCCTACTGATACCATCTTACAATAACATTAAGATCGTACATATTTAGTTGCAAGAAGACATGATCATTGAAGTGAAAATAAGTAGAAGTTAAAAGAAATTTGTTTCTGGAATAATAATTTATACACAAAAAAAAGAACAAAAAAACGGTACATCGGACTCAAACGACTGTGGTTTCACTTACGGACGAAAAAGTCGACAGCCAGGAGAATGGCGCTTTAAATTGACGCTAGCGAAGAATAAATTACAAATACACCAAAATTCAGACAATATATGTAAAAGATAAAGAATTTCAATTAGTATAACTTGTGTCGTTTTTGGTTCGGAGATTGAGCTGTGTGTTCCTGCGAAAGCTAGAATTTATTCGAAAAATACCTATATGGTCAAATACTCATATGGTCCGGCCCGTTAATAACCGAACGAGTATAATGCTTATTAAGTCCGACAATACGCGTATGGTCGGACCATATAAGTATACGCATATGGTCATGACCATACGCGTATGGTCCAAATACTCATATGGTCAGGAACATATACACCAAATGCAGGCTCAGTTGGAATATTGATACACATAAATGTTACTTTGCAATGGGAAAATTAAAATCTTCTCTAATATCTTGTAATGTCCCCAACCGACCCTCATTGTTAATTTTTTTTAAGTTTTACAAAATTACAAACTGTATTATGCTATAGTATTCATTGTTGCATATATCAAGAAATAAAACCCCAGCCACTATAAGTTGCTACTGACAATTTAGAAACACGACGGCTCCCACTAGTAGAGCAGAAATTGATTATTCTTTCGGAGCATTCGAGTTTCCCTGGTTAGTTGTGGGGTTGGTGTTGCTCTATCTCTACACTTTTTTGAGTAAATTTTTGTTGACTTTTTTTCTTTATGTCGGTTGTTCTTGCCATGGTATTGTCTGTTTTTTTTTTAGATTTGCTCTCTTGGGATATTTTTTCTTCTATTTTCATTCCACTTGTCTATACTTTAGATTATTTTATTTTTAAATTATATCCCTTACCAACAAAATCTTGAATAGGTGCTGCAGTATCGATAAGAACTTCATGGATAGTCTTTGTTCCGATATAAAATCGAATAAATGCTACCTTTTCCTTATCATCACAAAGTAGGGGTTTAATTCGACATTTTATTTTGAATTTTACTCGGCATGAATGTCCGACACTAAATTGCAATGTAGGGAGTTCCTTGTAATGTCTTTGTTTGAAATTACCGTCAAGCTCAATATTTACGACCGAAGAACGGGCAGCGAAATCGATAGTACGAGAAATCCCACCATCGTCTGACATTTCCAATCGTTTATCGTCTGCTACATGTACTCCACCTAGACCAAGGTATTTACTGACCGTATTATCAACATCTGGATGTTCTACTATGCATACCCAAAAGTTAAACTCCTCTTTTTTATTTTCGTGAAAGGTAAGAATTTTGCAAACACAAGTTCGTGATGAAGCAACAGAAAATCCACGTTCTAAAATCGGTTCATACGCCTTGTACTTATTTATTTCTTTGGTAACCACATACCAGAACCTGAAATTAGAAAGATCAAGTTGATTTTCAGTGATATTCCAATTGCTTAAAAAGTATCATGTTTTACCGACCTATAAAACAACAACAGCCATGTAACATATAACACAACTTCTGGTTTTTCGCGGACTAGGAACAAATATGCAGCGTCCCTTCGCCTTTCTAATGACATATGCGTGCAATATCGTAACGTAACTAGAACTTAATTTAGATAAATAACTAAATGGAAAAAGATCGTTACTGATTATTATTTTGTGTATTCTCACGATTTATCTCCCATCTCCTGATTTTGATATTAAACTTACATAGATTCTTTTAATTATAAATTCTTTTAATTATAAAGTTACAATCTAGGAAGTGCTTGTTACAAGCGTATACAGTTTAACCTGAATTATATGTATTCTGTGTGTCATTTGATATTGAAATTTAGATGAATAAAAACTGAAATTAAAGATGACCGTGTATCGTGTACCATAATTTTGGAGAATCAATTTTGAGTGTACATGTGCAAGTATTTATACGTATATTCAAATAATAAGGGTAGTCTTAATTTTTTTAATATAAACGTCCAACATAATGTCAATGTTCTTATGTGGAATGCGTAAAGTCAAGCACAGCTACAGAGAAATTGGTTAAAAATGGCTAGTCATTTTGTTTAATTTGTTCGGGGCGTCATCCATGTTTTAGGTTCATCACTGTAGCTCTTTCTAATTAGAGATAAGTTTAGCACATAATATATACAAATTTAATAGTATCGATCATCCAGACCCTTTATTTTTTAAAGTATAGCGTCTGGATGACAAGTGAAATAGATATGGTGATATATGACAATCGGAATAGTTTCGGCTTTTTTAGGGATAATATCCAAGACGAATAGTTGGTTATTGACTTCGGAAGAAATGACATTACGATAATATTATTGAAAAGCCCGAGTGTTTCGATTGTAGTTGTTTATTAAACAGGACTGGTCGAATGGCGTCGTTTAAAGCTTTTCTTATTTTTATTTTTTTTTGTGACGTATACAAGTCATGGAAAACACCAGACAGCATGGCTTCCATGGCCGAGAAGGAAAATTACAGCACAGCCAACCTTGGTAAGATGATATAACAATACAAACTGTAACATAAATTTCAATGTAACCTAATACATTGAGTAGTTATATTTGTTCATGCATGTCCGTGCTATGCAAACGAGTTAATAATTACAATTAAATGACAAACTTTGTTTTGACTGGGACCACTCGAACAGTCGTTCATGCTAAAAATACATATTTGGGATTGACATGTAGTATCTTTAACTTCATACATATTTGATGAAAAGGTGCTATGACGCCGAAATATGACATCCGATCAAAGATTAGATTGTTGCATCTATCTGTATTAGAGAGTTTGGATCTTGATATGTGTAAAAAAAAAAAGCAGGGGAGGAGAGATTCAGTGTACCAATCCAAAACCATAAGTAGAAGAAAAGGTGTATCCATTTATAAGATGCCATTTTGTACATACATCCGATTTTCTATGAAAAGCTGGCACATTTACGTGTAACATTTGAGACAGGTCAAATAGATATCCTTTTATCATATGTTAATTATAAGAATTGAATGTTTATATTCTGGTAATTTCAAAGGGTCGTAAAAGCGTTGATGTTGCGCACATTATAAGAAGGGAGTGCTTCCACGCTATATAAAAAAGAGATGGACATACTAAACGGACAAAATGTTCTTTTTTCGATTTAAAAAAAAAACATATGCATGTAGCTTAATCTATACAGATTCATAAAGGGACACATTGTCATTAAAAGGAATTTCGTTTAACTCCTATTCCACTATCTAAAATTTAAAATATAATGTTAGTTTAAAAAAAGTCTGGACCGTTCAACTTAAAATAGAAAAATACATTGTTTGTTTTTCTTTGTACTATTAAATAGCATTTTTTCAAAAGTTCTCATATGAATAAAAAATTGTTTTCAGGGAAGATACCAAGTGGCAATCTAAACCTTTTTTTTTATGTTGGACAAAACCATGGCATGATGTAATAAAGTTACTATCATCACTTTATGTACCATCATACCTGTAGGAGATCAGAGGAAGTACGATTTAAGATTATGTGATTTATAATATATATTCAAATGTACTTATAGAACTGAACATACTAAGAGGATTTGTCAGTCAGACAATACCTACCATAAATTATTTATCTACTACGTAAGCTTACACACGACCAGTGTATTGTGTTAAGTTAACAATTTAATGTAACACATGTTGCTTATGTCAGCAGAGGGTTTAACTAAATTAACTCTAAGACTTTCTAACCAAAAGACGGGAACTCCGAGACGGAGAATGAAGTACTGAACTTAACCACTATACGAACTTTGTTGTTAATATGTATTGTTGCTAAATCATAATGTATTAAAACTCTTCTAAATTATCTACTGTTGCAATCGTGTTACAATGAAGAAAAACACTGAAAAGGCAATTTCCTGCAAAATAAAAAGTAAAATCACAAAAATATTGAACTCCGAGGAAAATTCAAAAAGGAAAGTCCCCAATCAAATGGCAAAATCAAAAAAACAAACACATCAAACGAATGGATAACAATTGTCATATTCCTGACTTGGTACAGGCATTTTCTTATGTAGAAAATGGTGGATTGAATCTGGTTTTAAAGCTAGCTAAACCTCCTACTTGTATGACAGTCGCATCAAAATCCATTATATTGACAACGATGTGTGAGCAAAACAAACAAAAACAATAGGTAAAAATGTCACAAATAGGGGTAAATAGTCTAATTCGGTAGGTCACATTCGTGAAAAGGGAACGGTATTGTAGTTACGACATAAGGAACATATCCGATATCATCTGTGAAACGGATATTCCATAACGGTCAACCAACTCGTGATGGCGTTCGTAAAATTTACAAAGTGATGATTTCAACTTCACCATTTGGAACTCTTGGTTTAAGAATGAAAATTCACAATTGGGAAGCTGAAATCATCTCTTTTGTCGTAAAGTTCTGTTTTCAACCGACCCTCATAGTCAATTTCTAGATATAAGTCATAATCAAATGGCAAAATCAAAAGCTCAAACACATCAAACGAATGGATTAATACACAGTAAAGCAAAAAAAAAATCAAGAGGTCATCATGTAGTCTAAAACAAAAGGTGAAGATAAAAGTACAAAAATGTCAACATTATAAAATAAGGAGATGTGGTATGAATGCCAATGAGACAACTATCCACATAAATTCAAATGGAGTAGATGTAAGCAATTAAAGGCAACTGCACGGCCTTCAACAATGAGAAAACCCATGTAGGTATTGGATAGAGAATAGAGGCAGGGAATGTGTCAACGAGACAACAACCCGACCAAAAAGCAGGAAACAGCCGAATGCCACCAATGGGTCTTCAACGCAGTGAGAAATCCGCTACCCGGAGGTGGGATTCAGCTTAACTCTAAACAATAATGTATACAATATATTTCTATGATGTATTTTTTATTCAACAAATATATTTTTTTTCGTACATACTATGCTGGTGACCAAAAATTAATATGATTTGAATAGATATTTTCTTTTGTAGCGACAAACCAATGATAATTTCTGGACACAGATTTGATGTGAAAAATGTCAAAAATTAAAATAGTATAATGTTCAGGATATTCATTATATAATGCTTCAATTTTATAAGAATAAGATTTTTTTTTTAAATTATAAAATACTGAAGTATCAATCAGTATAAATAAATCACAGTACCAAGAATGTTGGGTAAACATTATTTTGACAGCAACTACAAAGCCAAAAAAGGTACACAGACGTATATTAGTCTATAAAACAAAGATCAAGAAAAAGATTGTTGTCAGACATGTAAGAGCATTAAGATTTGTATTAACAAATTAAAAAACTTATAAACAATTGAACAGTTAGATTTCTCGTTTGAATTGTATCACACTTTTCATGTCAGGCCCTTACGGTATCGAATTTTCTCAATAACAAAGGACCTGCAGTGATTATATTTGCTTATATATACGTCATTTGAACTCTGGTGGATAGTTGCTTCGGTAACAACCATACCACATTTTTTTTTCCTTATTTTTATACAAAGGCTCACAGGAGAAGCTATTGTTCTTTTGAAGCTGTCCTTTCTTGCATGCTAATGATGGATATTTAAATAATTGGAGAAGTAGAATACAGTTTTTAGTTGTTGGTTTTTTTACAAGCTACCATGCAGTGTGGGATTAATCCCATTCCATGTTCTCCATGTGCATGATACAAACATGCATTCAAAGAGTATTGAGCTTCATGAATGACTGGTTAAATTCTGTATATCCTCAATAGACACGGGTAACACTGGCACTGTGGTATTGTGTGAGGGTTGGTTCCAAATTTGTTTCTTCCCAAACGGATTAGGGCGATATAGATTATTAGTGTAAAAGCTAAGAAACATTCAGACTATTGTGTCGTTTGCAGTTTCTCTTGTAAATGAAAATTGAGTTGGCTCATTGTGTGATCTCACTGATCTGCCAGTAATAATAACATAAACGGTACCAATTTGTCTGCACCAGATGCGCATTTCGACAATCAATGTCTCTTCAGTGATGCTCGAGGCCAAAATATTTGAAAATCTAAAGCTTATTAAAAACATGAAGAGCAATAAACCAAAAAGGACAAAAAGTATAGACAAAGCTGGGTAAGGAATCAGAGCTTTGCATGAGGGAGATACATGATTCCTTAATTTTAAATAATTTCCAAAATTTTGTAACAGCAAATTTTAATAACACAAAATCCGTATTTTCATGCCAGTACCGAAGTACTGGCTACTGGGCTGGTGATACCCTCGGGGACTATCAGTCCACCAGCAGAGGCATCGACCCAGTGGTAGTAATAACATAAACGGTACCAATTTTCTGCACCAGAATAACTGTTAAGGAATTTTTTTAATATTGCATACTTAGTATTTGTATGAGTTGTTTTTCTTCACATAGAAGTAACTTGATGTGTACATTTTT